AGAGTTAAAGGGATCTCACTAGACTGGGTGACAAAATGGCAGATGAAATTCAATTCTGATAAATGCAAAGTAATGCACACTGGAAAAAATGATCCCAACTACACATACACAATGATGGGTTCTAAGTTAGCTATTGCCACTCAAGAAAGAGCTCTTAGAGTAATCATGGACAGTTCTCTGTAAACATCGGCTCAATGTGCAGTGGCAGTCAAAAAAGCTAACAATGTTAGGAACCATTAGGAAAGGGATAAATAAAACAGAAAATATAATGCTGCTATATAAATCCATACCTTGAAAAGAGCATTCAGTTCTGGTCACCCCCATCTCAAAAAAGTTATATTAGATTTGGAAAAGGTGTAGAAAATAGCAACAAAAATTATTAGAGGTATGGAACACCTTCCATACGAGGAGAGATTAAAAAGACTGGGATCGTTCAGCTTAGAAAAGAGACAGCTAAGGGAGGATATGTTAGAGGTCTATAAAATTATTAATGTCTTGGAGAAAGTGAATAAGGAAGTGCTGTTTACCCCTTCACATAACACAAGAACTAGGACTCATCCAAAGAAATTAATAGGCAGCAGGTTTAAAACAGACAAAAAACAGTACTTCTTCACATCCTGCACAGTCAACCTCCAGATATCATTGCCAGGGTATATTGTGAAGGTCAATGTCTCTTAATCAAGATAATCAGGGATACAACCCCACTCTCTGGGTGTCCCTAAACCTTCAACTTCCAGAAGTATCTGGCATGGACCACTGTCAGAGACAGGATACTGGGCTAGATGGGCCATTGGTCTGACCCAGTATGGCCATTCGTATCCAACAGCAAAATGTTCTAATGTGTTGCAAATGAACAGAGGTCCACACAAAAAGGCAATGGAAGTTTGACAATCCTTTTGTGATTTTTTCAAACTCCACTGTAATGGTTTCACAAAGTTGTGAGAAACAGCTCCAGGAGAAAATATATCATAAAAAAAACATGTGGGTAAGCATCTGCAGGATTGGGGCCATACTCCTGTCCTGGATAGAGATTGTTCTAAGAGCTCGTTCAGCGAAACAAACTATGGACTAAATTGTGGGCTGTTCTGAGCACCCATTCATTCCCCTGCCCAAGCCATCTACATCGTACGGCGAGGAGCAACCTCTACAGAGCCATTATTCCCCATCCCATACAAGTGGACATGGAGTGAGGTAGCAGGGGCAAGCGTGGGAGGAGCCTGGGCTTCACCCTGACAACATGGGCTGACCTGTGCAGCTGAACTGGGAGATATACATTTTGCCAGGTAAGGCTGGGTACAGGTAGGTATGTTTTTCCTTCCAATCCGTATCGGAGCAGGGAAAAACCAAGAGGTAGGTTATATCTCAGAGAGTCACTGTCTGGTTCCCAGGCTCCACCTGAGCCAGTGTACCTATATGCTACCACAATTTAGCCATGTGGTCACGTCAGTCAACATTCAAGCTCTGTGATGTTCTCATTTTGTGTCTACGCTACTCTGGGCAAATGGGTAGTAGAGGACACTTTATCATCAATTCTTATTTAGGCTTGAGAGTGAACAGTGCCACTCAGAACAAGGGAAATTAGGCTTTGCCTCAAAGATCATCTAGTTAGACAACCAAAGCAATACAAACAGAAGGCCAGGTTCACTGGCATGTTCTGACTGATGCAAAAGAGTTGGAGCATATGAGTGAATTTGGCCTGGATAATGTCCTGAATGAGCTGAGGATGGGATTGCCACAGGGTAGTATATGAATTTTAAATCTGTAAACTAGGGCTTTGTTTGGTGGGCTAAACCAGTAAGGCCTCACGGAAGATGATTCTTTTAACGGACTATATACACTGTTTGAAAAGTGCTCAGCATTGGCCTTATTCTGCTCCCTTTAAAGTCAATGAGGGTTTTACAACTGGCTTCACTGAGAACAGAGTTAGGCCAGCAGGGGGCACTTCAAGGACCACTGAACTGATGCAGGCCCTGAAACCAAGCTGCAAAACCCGTGAAGAAATGTGAGACGACCAAAGAAGCCATTTGCTACAATTTCTCATTTGTTTTGTTTTTTCCCCACCTCCTTCTATTTTTTTGGGGCCCGCACTAGCTTCCCTCAACTTGTCTCTATGTCTCTTACGGAGAGTGATTTCACTATTACACTGGCAGTGTGTCCTGCACAGTCATTATGGGTACACAAAGGCCGGATACAGCAATGCTGCCATGTAGGTTTGAAGTCTGGTCCTGCATTCCACACCAACCAGCTGCAAAAAACATTTCAAGCAGGTACTGCTGCACGGGGGCCAAGGGGGCCCAACGGGGATCACCCTCCCCCTAGGATGCCTAACTGTGCATGGGAGACCCACTCCTCCTTGGGGGTCTGGGACCCATGCAGTATCCCAAGCCAAGTGGAGAAGGAGCCAGCCAGAGACTGAAGCTTAAAGAGCAGCTGCAGAAGAGATTTGAGCAGGGACCAGTGGAGATTGATGATGTCATCAGAATGCTTTCCATAGTTTGCATTCTGAACATTACATCAACTGTGCTGATTGGCTGTTTGCTACAACTCTTCCCGCTTCCTCCCTTTTCTTTGCCTACCATAACCAGCTGAAAGGACTTAAATACATAGGTGCTGGAACTAGGGGGGTGAGGAGGAGGGGCTGCAGTACCCTCGGCTTGAAGTGGTTTCCATTATATACAGGGTTTACAATTTGGTTCAATGGCTCTCAGCACCCCCATTATAAAAATTGCTCTAGAACCCCTGCTTAAATAACAAAATACAAGCAAAAGAAAATCACAGAAATAACACAATGTTGCAGCCATTACATTACTCACTCTGTTTGTATGTTCAACCCTTTCCCCTGTCCTTTGTGTAGTTTGTCTGTTTGGACTGCAATCTCTTTAGGTCAGGCAATGTCTACTTCAGGGCCCTGGTGTCAGCTGGCCCCTAGGCACTACTGTAGTAAACACGTTCAATGTAATCCATATTCATACAAAACTCCCACTAATTGCAGTTGGTTTTATCATCTCTCACGTTCCATCTTCCTCTCTGTAAATTCTTTGAGATAGGGACCAACCCATTTTTGTATCTCAGAACTTCACTTTTAGCACTAAGGCCTAAATTTTCAAAGGTGACTAGGGATTTTGGGCGCTCAGCTTGAGATACCATAGAGGGTCTTGATTTTCGCAAAATTTGGTGCCCAACACTTTCTGATCATCAGGGTCCTTTCATGTATCTCAAGTTAAAATCACTAAACTGATGACAATTTAGGACTATATAAATAAAAACAGAAATTAGTATTACGAATAATAATTAATAACTAATGGCATGTGGTTTTTGAAATTTAAATTGATTGTTTTGGTTTTTTTTGGTGGCTATGCCTGTTCTTTCTATGTAGTAGCATAATCAAAATAAAAACCCAAGTCAGTGAATATGAAGGTTGTAGGCTTTCTGCAGGTTTAGTTTTCTGAAGTTGAATGCTCCATTGGTAACCATGATGTGAATCAGATCCAAAGGTTTCCTACTTCTTCACAAGACATTACAGTATTGATAAATAATTGGTGGATTCTCTCTGTGTTTACTCGTGACTTACTGAACTAGTGCCAACTGCATCTTGAATGCTTGTTCATTGGGAGTAACTCAAGGCTGACAGCTAGTGAGGTCATTTAGCAGTCTAGCCAAGGCCTGTATGCCATTACAATGAAGTAATAATGTATTTATAACACACCTAACCACTGATGGCTTCTATTCCTGTTGGGGCTTTTTTTCTCTCCTGCATTTGCACAGATGTTTTTTGAGAACTGGTCTCCAGAAAAAGCCTTGTAGAAAACAAGCTACGTCTGTTGATTCTGGCTGGCTTCTATAACGATAGTTGTTAGCACGCAGGATTTATGTTTCAAATATCATTTTAATTTCTAGGGCTGCATTTTTTAACCACAAAATCTTAATTCAATGGTGTACTATAAATGCTGCAGCTCCTTTATAAAAATGTAGAATAAGCTGTTTCTAAGGAAATATTCTGAGAGTCTGATTCATAGAAATGCTTCTCACATGCATTTTCCATGGAATTTGCTCTGAAATATGTGTGTAATATGGTCTTCAATAAATTATGTACTTTTGTGATTCATTAAACCTTTTCCCCTGCTCACAAGTAGCAACCTGTTCATTATACACAAAAAAGTGCAACCAGCCAAAAAAACCCAGCATTCTTGTTCTTATCATATTCATTGGCTGCTATTATTCCTGATCTTAAAAAAATAATAATCTATAAAAGTATTTAGAGAATGACAGTGCATAAATTAAACTGGCATCTAGCTTTAATTTACATGCAGGGAAATTAAGGATACATCCACATCCTTAATTACCTCCTTGTTCAATTTAAAGAGTATAGGGCTTAGAATGCCTCATGTAAAGATAATGATGATTCTTAGAAATGGGTGACTATTGACAGAATGCTTGTAGGAATGTTCACTCTCATTTCTTAATGAGTTTGTTCCAGCCATGTTTACATCCATTTTCTTTTTCCTATAATTCAATATTTATCTGATCAAGTTTTGCTGGCCTGACTCTTCATAGAAAGTGTATTTCAAAATTGCATTTAAAGTAAAATAAATGTTAAATTCCAACTCACACATATTTATGCTGGAAGCACTTGCATGACAGCTAATTAAGGATCATATAAAAATATCATGTGACATATCTCACCAATGATATCTAACCAATATATCTTGAATAGCAAATGGCTCAAACTCAAAGAACAGTATGTAATCAATAGAATTCTATCGATTTTACTTTGTTCTAGTTAGTATTAAAGATGGTTGAAAATTTAGGGCACCTCTGTACCTGGGGGTACTTTGCTACTCATGCATCATCCAATTTCCACCTGCTTCATCCCATCCTACAGATGAAATGGTTAACTTTGAAAACTTGTGCCAACCAGTCCTAGAATTTAGTTTAACTGAAGTGTGCCTCCTGCTCAAAAGTCACTTCCTCTCTGAAATAGCCTGTCTCTGTCTTTCTAGATATCATTTCCATTTATCTCTGGGCATTATAGATGCTGCATTACATGCATGTGCGAAACTGAAGGCAATGGAATTACTCCACACTAACAGTAGCGTAAATGAGATCAGAACCTGTTCCAGCGACCTCACAAAGGTAATGCAATCTATGCCCTTCACACAAAGAAAAGAAGAATGAGAAACAGCCATCGTGGTTGTTGTTTTGAAGGCGAGACATATAGACTGGTATTCGCTACAGCCTCACATTATGTAGGGAGAGCAAAGAAGCATTCCCTTCACACAAAGAAAAAGGAGAAATACTATGCTATTATTCTTTTTTAAATGTCATGCCCAGACACACTGGGCTAATTCCACTTCACTGCATCACAACGTGCTACATTAACTGCCACAAGACATGAGCCAATGCTACCACCACCCACATGCTTCCAATGCAACCATATCATTTCAATTTTTCACACATTTTACTTCTGTATGTAGAATGTGTTCTATAGCACAGTAAAGTCTCCTCTCACCAATCCTTTGACACGGGCTACCAGTCTGAAACAAAGCTTAGTTTCATATCTAAAACATAGTGACACAGGAGGAGGGGGTAAGGAATCACAAAAGAAACAGCTGGCTATAGCCATGCTTATGGCTCTGAGGGCTCTGCTGGTTCAAGCATCCAATCATGAGTCTGCACGGCAGGCACCAACTCTGTGGCAATCCTTCCCAGTGTTCCTGAGATATTGTCTGTTGAAAGGGTACCTCTTGAAGAATAGCACAGTGTTGATACCGGATGCCAGCCTGAAAATATGTAGACTAGTGAACAATTCTAAGGCCCCACTTTTAATTTTCACTGCTCCATCCTCTGTTAAACAGACTGGGAAAAGATCAAGCCCCGTTGGAAAAGATTGTAAGCTCTTTGGGGAAGGGACCATCTTTTTTGTTTTGTATTTGTACAGTGCCTACCACAATGGGGTCCTGATCCATGACTGGGGCTATTAGGACTACTGCAATAAAATAAATAAATAAGCAATAACAACAAGCTGCATACCACCTGCAAGACAGAGGTACGTTGCCTAGTCAAGATGCCACTATCAGGCTAGGAAAGTGAGAACTTTAAAAGATGATGATGATCATAGATAGAGAGATCTGAAAGAAAGCAAAGAAGGTTGGTATCTGATCCTAAATATGTCTCTTCAAAGAGCCAGAAGGTGTAGAGCATAGCACAAGACATACCACCAGATTAAGGGAAAGAGACACCCCTCAAAAGTTGAGTGAATTTCAATCACTATTATTTTTCAGCTAACATCACTTTCCCTGATTAGACACTGCACTTGATTCTTCACTGCTTTGCACGTTGGTTAGTCATTTACACCTGCAAAATCAATGCAAAATAGTTGAAATACTGATTTGGGAGCATTTTACACCCATTTAGTTAACACAACACAAAGTTAGCAATATGGCAGATTATGTTTTTCCAGAAAATACATTTGTCATGCCATTTGCACCATCTGCTGTATGTGTCAGTAGGAAGGAAGATGGCTGCTGTTGAATGGTGTGGTATTTAGAAACAGTCCCAGTAAGAAACTGGATGAAAACAAAGGAACCTGGGCATCAAAGCAGCCAAAGGCACCGGTGAGAAAGAGGAAAAGGGGCAACTAATACCATTTCTATGACTTGGCAGATCATTGGTGCACCCTCTAGTAATACTCCTTTCTCACCTGCAGCACCTGTCCTGGAAGTTCAAGCAAGATTGTGAAACATCAACGAGCAGCACCACAATCTTCAGCTGCATGAGTAGCGAGTCCAAGACCAGCAACTCTGTATGGAAATGCAGGCATGGCAAACAAGTGCACATGATTCATTCATCTGTACAGGCTAGAAAGAGCAACTCTGGCAAGCTGATAGAGTATGCAAATCTGATGTCATAAAACTGATGGCAGCAGCCAGTCATTCAATACTTTCATTCCTGCATTACTTCTTGCACATACTTTGTAAAGTGTTTTGAAAATTAAAAGCACTCTGTGTAAGTGCTAAGTATTATTAGTATCTTCACTGCTGTTTAGTAACATTGTGACAGGGCATAAGGCTCTGTTAGTTCACCTAATACTGATGAGTGTTTAATCCCCCCCCACCCCATGATTCTGCAAAAATTTTTGCCATCTGATGGCTCTGCATAGACCTATTTGAAATGAGTCTGAGTCCAGTTCCCAGTTGTCTACATCAGAAACAAAACCCTTACCATGACTGACACTAATTGGCACCCTGGCAGTCTCAGCAAAGAGGCAAAGGAATGAATGGGCATGGAAACTGAACTACCATCTCAGGCCTAGAAGTGACTGCTCCTTCTAGTTCAAGGTAGATACACTCTGATGGAGAAGTTTGGGAAGCCTGCATGGTCCCTGCCTATGCTATGCCAGTTCTCTGGGTGAACAGGGGACTCAAGTCTCCCAAGGATCCATGCAGCAAATTCCATTAATATTAAATCCACAAAAACTATTTTTTAAGATTAAAAAATATCTGAAAAACATTTAAAAGCATCTTAACAATACTTCAGGCTTATGTATCTTCATGTCTAAATTTACATTCAGATAGTCAGGCTGAACAAACATTCATTTTTGCCATCTGATGGCTCTTGGTCCATCCCCAAAATCTGAGTGGTAACTGGCTACTATGTCAATGACACTGAAGATCCAGCAATTGTGCATTGGAAGGGAGAACCTTTGGGAAGAAAATGAAAACCTACAGCACAACTGAGCAGAATTGTCTTCTAGTTTCTTTAGCTTCACGTTTTCTTTTCTTGATTTTTCGCTCAGCTATATTAAGTCAACAGTGACGAATGATCAGGCAATTTTGAAGATGTTCAAGTATCTACACAGAAAGTTGCACTGATTTAAAGTGGGGGTTTTTTAATCAATTTAGTTAAACCAATTCAAACCCCAATGGGAATATTCTTAATATGATTTAAACCTGGTTTATATCAATTTAGTTTAAGTTGATTCCTTGCTGACCTAAGTTAAATTGATATAAACCAGGGTTAAATCAAGATAATCAATTCCACATGAGTTTTCACTAGTTTAACAAAATTGATTAAAAAACTATTTTAGTTAAATCAGAACAGCTTTCGTGTGCGGGAAGACACGCCCTACACTCCCCCTGTTCTAGAGCATCGCTTACAACAGACCAAAAGAAGTTTCACAAACCAAATACACCAAAGTTAAAATATTTTGCGACGCTAAATTGAATGGGCTGCTTTGGATTTTTATAGGTATAGACGTCTGCAAAAGAAGCTAGGAACTAGTGTAAAATGGAAGTTATCCAGAAGCAAATACAGTGCAAAACAATTTATTTTTATATAGCATCCTTCAAACATAATATCATAAAATGCTTTAACTTCAACCAGAAGTTAAAAACAAAAAGGTTGGAGGGCAAAGTTTAACGAAGGTAAGTGACTCAGTAGTGGAGGGAAGTTCTAGTCTGGTGAAATAGATGAGGTACAACAAGTGAACAAGGACTTTCCACAACCCCAGCCCAAACTGTGGAGCAATGAGGGAGCCCACAAAGAGGGAAACACTGTAGGAGAAGCGTGACTGAGCTGAAGAGCAGGTGGCCATGAGGTTAGAGGGGCAGGGAAGAGCAAGTTCTGGAAACTAGGAGGGCCATTTTGAACTGGGTACAAAGATGAATGAGAAGCTAGAGCAGGAGGATGAGACTAAGTTTGTATGAGAGCCATAGTCATAGAGGAGCCTCTGAACATCACAGTATTTGATGGAAATGTTGACATTTAATGGCCAGAACAGAGGCACAGGGACCAAGGAGCCTTCTGTTCTTATGTACCCTGCTCTGCAGCCAGGGCCAATCAGAGCTCCTCCAAGGAAGAGGAAAGGCCATGGATCCTCCATACACACCAGCTCCTAGGTTTGGCTGGGCACAGAGAGGGCAGTCGTTGCACCAGCCCCAAAAGACGGTGCAGTTTATTTACTCATATTGTGTGCCAGGGGAAATTCTCTCTTTCAGAGATTTCCCTGGAGTAATGTGGCTTCGCCTTAGCCTCAGCATCAGCATCTGGCTGAATGCCACACTCTAGCTCTATATGATTTATAAGAGGCCAGGGTCCCAGACCATTTGGGCAGCTTGGGCCATGGCCCCATCAGCTCTATCATTAATCGGTCTCTAAGTGAAAGTGACAGAGGCTGAGCATGACATAAAAATTCCACTGGCTGGATGTAAAAATAAGTATATTTCATCATGCCCATATGATACTTGGTCAGAGCTACACGATCTTCCTTTACCTCTCCCGGTGTAAGGTTCTGCCTAAAGTCTGGAAATGCCTTTAAATATCAATTTGAAAGTTATGGTTTGAAACAGGGAACTAAATCCCTTTAAGTTTTACATGAGCAGACTGGTGACCTAATAGGCACACAGATGCATTCCTGTGCATTAAGAGCCAAAGTTTCATTACTGCGGGAACAAACTGCATGCAAGACAAGAAGACTGGGTAAGGCTGGGATGAAAATTCAGTTCAAAGAACCCAGAGGAGAAAGCAATAGATTTTTCTGCCTTGTAACAGCATGCAAAACCTAGGGACAATCTAAGTGTCAAGAATTTTAACTGAAGGAGAGGTACAGTGCATAAAACCAGATAAAGGAAGCCAAATTACCATGGGACATTGGGATAACTTAAAACAGAGCAGTTAACAAAGCAAAGAGAAAAATATGCCTACTGAGAAGTGAGTGAGAAGTAAAGAAAAGACAGGCAATTTGTGAGATGTAAGGAAAAATCACTTTGGCTTAAATGAACATTTTAATTTCCTAACGCAAAAAAGAAATTGAGGAGAAATGTTGTGCCTGTCTATGGATGTATGATAGACACTGAAAAGGGAATTCTCACAGGTGATGTAGCATTGGGCTTTTATGAACATGAATTTAGTGAAAAAGAATGATATGCTGTCAAAGGATTTCACAATCTAGATCTTTCTGCCTAATTAATAGAGCTAATGAGGTTTGCAATCCTTCACTTGAACATGCTCTGTTGTTTTTGACTTCCTTTTTGCTTCATCTTAACATAGATTTATTTTACAGTCCTGAAGACTTGGAGCAGTCAAATACACTTCAACTGTTACCATGGAATCAGTACACTAGGTTGCATATGATCTTTTGGGTTAACTGGAGGGAAAAAGATGGACAAAGTGTGCACAATAGCAAGTGAATTTTGTTATGCTTGTGCAACTGTCCCTGATACATACATTTTGCACAAGTGACTGGAGGCAGCTGCGAGATGTGCGATCTAAATCTGAAAATGAAACAACTGACAGTAAAGCAGCTTTTAGCTGAAAAATAAATGTTATATGTGGTGGGAGAGAAAATGACCATGTGCTGACAAGAGAAAGACAAAGGTGATTTGAAAAATAGTAAATATAAAAGTTTGCCACTAATTTAAAGAATTTATGGCGAGCTTCATTCTTGATGTTAAACAAAGAAATACATATCTCATTATTATCAGTTGCCTGGAATCCTTTGGTATTTGCACACTGTCCCTTGAATGTGTCAGGAGTCATGTAATAAAATGCACAAAAGATGTAAAACTTGAATCTGAGGGGGACAACCTACAGCTTGAATCTGAGGACCATGACTGTACTGAGGTAGTCTGGTCAGCCAGTTCAGGAGTGACAGTAATCTAGTGTGATGGGAAAGCATAGAATCATAGTATCACAGGGTTGGAAGGGATGTCAGGAGATCATCTAGTCGAACCCCTGCTCAAAGCAGGACCAATCCCCAACTAAATAGTTATAGTGATCCACTTTAAAAGTCAAAAAAACTAGCATACATCTAACTTCTTGAGTTGTTATAGCCTAAAGAATGGACCAGTGAACCAGGTCTGATACAACAAAAATACAACCTACATCTTCATTTAAATCTAACCAAACCATTTCAGACATTCCAAAAATAGTTTGCTGAATTTCTATGTTTGATTGTTTCTTTTAAATTTTTTGTGAAGCTTTGCACTTCTGGGTTTTGACTGAGAGTGCTGAAAGAGCCTGTTCTTGTGGTATTTCTCATCATGTCAAGCTATGAAACAGGGGAAATCTCACAAAACACATTCTTATTTCACAGCATTTCCAATGCAATTTCCAGACCAAGAGGTATGGGTATGTTTGGATGGCCAGGCTTCAGGTAAATACTCAAACTTGGGAACGGTTATTGGAATGGAAAAGCCAATGTTTTTGAGGTTTGCATAGATTATTGCTTTTATTATTTATAATTTACATTGTGGGACCCCAATCATAGAGTCCTATTATAGATGAGGGCCCCATTAAGCTAGGAGCTGTACAAACATAGAACAAAAAGACAGTCCCTGCCCTGAGGAGCTTACAATGTAAGTAAAAAGATAATGTAATAATCCACTCGGTAGAGCTAGAAGGTACCTTGTTGCCAGGCCCATTTCAGTACGAAAGTCTGGGTTGCATAAGTAATTAAGGGCATGAGCAAAAGCTCATTGAAATCAATGGAAATACTTCTATAGATTTCAATGGGCTTTGGATCAGGCCCTAAGTACGGGACTGGAGTCATGCACGGCTATGTACGTTTATAATCCTTGTAGTCCCAACCACAGTGTTCTGGGTCTCTGAAATCCCTACAATCCCTACATGATGGATCTCAAAGATAGAATTTTCTCTTTAGAGAGACTAGGGGGGTGAGGTACTATCTTTTATTGGACTCACTTCTACTGGCGAGAGAGAGAGATGAGCTTCTGCACTTACACAGAGCTCTTCTTCAGGACTGACATGGCTACAACAACATTGCGTACAATCTTCTCTTTATAAATTTCTGATATAAAACTATTGTATTACTTTTTTTTAGCCTTTAGTGGAATTTCAGATTGGTCATATTTGGGGGATCCTGTCTTGATCCACCCCTTGCTCATATAGCAGGACTGCTCTTTTCCCATCTTACACACAATTATCACCATAGCTTCTCTCTAAAAGGACTTCAGCAAATACCACAAGTTGCCCAAGCTGGTAAACTGTACAGATTTAAGTTGTAAATGTCCTCAGGATTCATTAAGTTGTAGATGATGATTCTTCGATAAAGCATATGCTTCATGAACATATCGAGAGGTCTGATAGGGCCTTGACCATATTAATAATAGCATCAACAATAATAATGCATGGACCTGTAACAGGCTTTCACATCAAGAAGAATGTGAAAGATTAGCTTGAGAAGTAAATATTAAGACTAGATCTTCAGCTGGTGTAAATCCACATAATTCCATGGACTTCACATTGATTTCAATGGAACAACACCAATTTATGCCACCTGGTAACATGGCCCTTAATGTGGTGATTAAGATTTTTTTGTAAACTTTATCAGAAAAAGGAATATGCTTCTAAATTAAATTTTAGGGTTAGGATTCATATTCAATAAAACCCAATTAGTACT